TCTATGCACAAAATGAGAGACCAGACTTGCCAGATACTAGTCTTAAATTGGTTTTTTACGAGAGTCTGCCCAACCCGGAAAGCACGTCACATGCTGTGACATAGTGTCACACACCTCTGCCGAAGACCAGCGAGAAGTGCCAGAAATCACTAGTAAGCAACACATATCAGCAATAGATGGCATACGATGGCGAATAGTGGCTGCTACCAGTGTATGCCACCAGTGTTTGGTGGTGGCCACCACCCGCCGTGTGAATTGATTGTACCAAATACCAGTGGCAACCAGTGTGGCATGCTGAATAGCAATATATACCAACGTGCTATACTGCTTGCCACTGATTTACAGTGGTATTCACCAGTTGCCACTGTGTTACGGTGGATTCCAGTGGACAACGAACGGCGGTGTTCAGTAGCGCCCACGACGATGTGCCCGTATATGGCAGGGACCACCAGCGAACACCAATGACCACCGGCAAACACCGGTGGTTATCGCTGGAGGTTGGCAAACGCCGAAGTTGCAAGTCACGGGCTTATAACTCCGGTCAAGCTGCTAGGCAAGTGCCGAGAAGCCGATTTGTTCCGGTACCTGACGGGAGTTTTCTCACGCAACGACGAACCTCACGGTCCCGAGTAAGCTCTAGCTTGAGGCTACTAACTGGAACTAAGTGCTCCTTGATTTTGTACGAGAGACTGCTTTGCCTTGCTCAAATCGCGCTGATCGATTCAGCCGAGCAGGCGGGCGTAGCCAAAGCGTTGAAATTTGGCTTGCGATGCAGACTTGGGCTCCATGCTCATCTGTGCGCAGTCTATATATGCTAAGCTGCAAGCCACCACGCTATCGTTACGGCCATCGACCAAGCTTGACAAGACACTTCGATACCGCAACTGCCAGTATCCAGTGGCTGGCCGGAAGCGCGCGGACGTATGAGCTGCCAGCAAGTGCCCTTCATTTGCAAATGATTTTGTTTTCGACTAATAACGTGCTTCTCAAGACTCAGGGCGGCGCGATCGCGACGGTCGACCCGACCAAGCTCACTAGCGACTGTTATCGGGATTTTTCCGGTCTAAAAACTTTCTGCCTGCATCTTCGAGAAGGCGCTGACTCGAGCTCTCGGAGTACCCGATGGCAGCGCCAGTTTTTGTGCCTCACAACGAATGGCTCAAAGATTTATGCTCCATCTCCACCGGGGACGCATGGCTTCTTCTACTACCGCACTCCTCCGCCCTGGGCCCACGACCTCGCCGGCGAGATCCGGTTCCGCATTACAAAAGACAGCGACCCATCGACCTTTGCTAGTGGCTATGACCTCCTCGTCAAAGGCATGCCATGGGCTGTGACTCTGCTGTTCAACAGCTCCATCTCGGCAGGGTTCCGTAATGCCGTGCTGCACGATGGTCTGCTCAGCGAAGACCAGATACACCGCATGGAGCGCTTGGAGCCGTGGCGTTGCAAACTAACAGCCAAGTCGCGTCTTCTCCACTCAATTGGCCAGCCGTTTGCACTACCAATAAGCACGGACAGTAAAGTCAGAAAATCTTCCCTGTACTTCGTGCCTGGCATCACGGACGACAAAGACGTGCTTGAGAACCTGCATATTGTCTCTCACTCAGGGTATCAATGGGGCTACAACACCGGTACAGACGGGGTCAAGACCTTCTCGCGAGACGGTGCGTACATTGTGTTGATATCCGATCGATTGAAACCTTACTCACGTCGTGTGTGCCAACACACGTGTTCAGCCATCGCCATTGTGCACCTTGAACCTTGGATTCATCCGCACGACAGGAAAAGACGCTGCGTTGTTATCCGAGTCCGGAAATTGTTGCACTGTGATGGCCTGCCTGTCAAATCTCTGGACGATCATCCTGATTACGGTGTGGCAGGTCATTTGTTGCATAGCGTTGGGCCGGTAAAAGAGAAGGTGTGGTATCATAAAATTCACCAGGGACCAATCGCCTGGAGGCACTTGTGTTTACCGCCCGAAGGTGTGACCATGGACTTGTAAACTGTCTGTGCTGTACAGTTCAATGCAAAGCGATGGTGCACGCGTGCCTTGATCTTACTAGGCTGAGAGGGCGCCGACGCTGGTGCGGGAAGTGCTCAAGACAGCTTCTGACTAACGCGTCTCTTTGCACCATCGTGGCGTCCCTGCATCGAGTCTGTGCTCTGCCGCGGCGGGCCATCCTAGGCTGCTCCTCTGCCGGGAAGAGATGGGATAAAAACGGCACAAAGCCAGCCTACTATCATCACAGCCGCCTTGACAGGAGTTGTCGGCCGGTCTACTTGCTTTCCACTGATTCTTGGCGAGAGCGGCTTCGGCGCGCTAGCATGCACGAAGAGGTTGTTACCAGCACATCTTCCCCGACGTCGCGTGAATTCCCGTGTACCACGCTTTCGTAATGCGCGTCGCAATCAGAAATGGTGCGGCGCGCCTTGTGTACGGCGGGGACGGGCTCTGGCGTGCGCTCGCCCTGTCGACGCCCCTCGACAAAGCTTCGAAGGCCGCTTTGAGCGACTGGCTAGCGCGAATCGCAACTTCTGCACAAACCAGGTCTGCTGGGTCGCCAACGGGGAGCATGGCTGCGAGTTTCACCGACAGCGATCCGCAGGTGCTCGTCGTCGACGATGGCCAATTTGGCTCTGATGCTGCAACGTACCTGAAGCACCTCGGCGACGGCCATTTCGTTGCCAAGAAGAACACGCGTGTGAGCGACAGCTGGAGGGCTCGCTACGACGTCTTTCTGTTTGAGAGAGACGGGTAATATTGAGCTCACCAAATGCAGGAGCTATCGATCTGCCGTACTTCAGTAAGCCATCGCACCGTACCCGGCCAGCTGCTGAACGCACACAAACTCACTACCGCAGATTCTTTGTAGTCTGGCAAGCCTTTCCATCGTCCGAATAAGTACGCCACCGGCTACGCAGACTACCGTTGGTCCCACTGACTCAGACCTGTCCGAAAGGCAGGGCCGAGCTCTGCATTTAGGCGTTCGAGTCGAGTTCGATATCTGCTCGAGTCCTGGGAGGAGGGCACACAACTCCCGGAAAACAAACGGGTCGTCGTCATCTCTCGCACCGATATGGTAGAGCGAATGCTGTTATATGCCCGCACGCGTCGGGTACACTGGCGCACCTCGCAACAGAGGCGCGCGCGACTGCGGGCTCTACCACCTGCTCGTCGAGGGCGAGCTGAAAGGCCCCTGGTGTAAGCTCTACCGCTTGCCGCACAGCCGCGCGCCCTTCCGTGACCTTTTCGTGGGACGCCTACATCAGCTCCTCTCTGAATGACAGGGCAGTGTTCCTGTTGCTTGCAGATCTTTATATACCAACGCGAAGGAGAGGCTCTATGCAGCACTGGTTGAGTAGTAATTGCTATACGCGTGCTTGCATATGACGTGCTGCATGGTAGCGAAAGCATCGAGATTGATACCGGGTAGTCGCAGCTGTTTGCGTCAAGAACTCAAGTTTGTCTGCGGGCTGTTCATTCGAGCGCCGCGATTCCGCATATGGAGGTACTATGACACTGGGGGTCAAACTAAAAGCTCGCGATAGACGAAAGAAGGCAAATATTAAACATTTGATGCATCGATTTCACAGCCTGTATGCATAAACAACAGGCTCTGTACTGCTGCATTTCCGGCAACGCGTTGTACCACTCGTGATCGATAAATATTGGGGAGGCCTATAAACAACGGAAACAAAATTGGAGCAGATGTTAAACGCGAGGATAGAAGTGCGATGCGATAAGTGCCTGTCCGCTTGAACTTCGACGGCAGCACTGAGCAGAGCAGAAGTTGGTGATTCCTGATGGCCATACATTGGTGGCATGGCCGTACATCGAAACCTGCTTGAAAGACGTCAACCTCAAGTCGCTCTGACAGACATAGAACAAAACGCGCACCCAATCCGCAGCTGTGGATGGTACAATGGCTATTCCACGCGAGATAGTGGACAAACCGGCGTATTCCTCTTCACTCGCACATTCGGTGGACCGAATCCGTCTCGCAGCCCTTCCGCTTCACAGCGACTGTCGTTAACATCTTCTTCACCCCGCTCCAACCGGCCACGGTCCACAGGCTCACTGGTATTCCCGAGGGAACCGGAGGGCACCCTGAAGCTCGCAGAGACGCGAAAAAAAAAGCTGCATGTCAGGGCTACTCCCGCTAGCCTCAGAAGTGTCTTGATGACATGATTGGTAACTGCGACTGGGATGCGGTGCTGGTTGTTAGCGGCTTGGAGGACGCCATCAGCACCGCGACGGCCAGCAAGAGGGGGAGACACACAAGCTCACGGATAAAGGCGCACATCTCCTCAGGCAGGAGCGACTTTGGGTCCGACGTAACTTTCTTCACCGCATGATATAAATTGTCATCGTCTCACATCACTTGGCCTGCCCCTCGGCCTCCGCGCCTTACAATAGCGAAAACCACGATGCACCTTTCGCGCGTCTTGCTCAGGCTGAAGTAGTCTTAGCGGCACAAGTGGAAGCCAAAACCCCAGGCGGGCTGCCACGTCGGCAGGCCGACCAGTGCACCGTACTGCTTGACGATCTCCTATGGGCTTGGGCTGGACAAGGAGTAGAGGTTGAGCGTGCCGCAGATTAGGCGGTACTCGACGACGGAGAGATTAGACGACAGCGCGGTCAGGAGGATGTCGTCGGAGCCGGCGGAGCTGTGTAGGCGATGAGCGTATGTTTGGAAGACGAGAGGGTGGTGGCGCACCTGAAGAGGAAGACGCCGTGCGTCTGTGAACGCTTGGTCGTGGCGTTGTAGCGGTGCTCTAGGTAGATCGGGTGCGAGCCATAGCTATAGAGATGAATCAGCCGCGCACTCCTGGCAAACGAGGAAGGGTACCCATACTTTCTGCTCAATAGTATCAGGAATATCCTGCGCCCACATCGTCTGGATCGTCCCGACACCGCCATCAGCGCCGACATCTCTGCGGAAGCCGCTGCTCGCGACGACTTCTCTCAGGCCATAGATGTTCGTCCCGAGCGCAGGCGCAGGCGTGAGCTGCAAGTACTGGTATTCAAGCACGAGTGGGAAGCTGTCGAGCGCGGTGGAGTTGTCCGTCGAGATCATGGGCGGGATGGGCGTGGGGGGAAGGAACGAGATCCGGGTGTCGAACAGGGGCTACGCATCTGGCTGGGAGCGGCGGGTGATCCAGAAGGTAAAGGAGGAGGATTTATATTTGAAGACGAGGTCGGAACTGTTTTTGTGAATGAAGTTGGCTTTCCCGGAAGGTCGATCAGTAAAGATGGGATGGTGAATTGGGAATTGGCGGTGTCAAGAATGTTTACATGGAGCCTATCACGGGTAAGCTCAGGCTATTAAAGAAAGTTGTAAGTAAATTCTCTTACCTCGTATCAGAATCGTAGGTAACTTCCAGGGTAAGATTTGCAATATCCTGCCCGAACGCGCTGCAAGCAGGGACGGCCAGGTTGAGCTGAGCGGCCAGCCCAGTGTCCGTCTCTCGCAGCGCGCTCGAAGAATATCCTGAAACTTATGAGATACCGCTGTCACTCCAAAGAATGAGCGACTTACCGGGGCAGCTCGACACGTCGAGCGAAAGCGTGGGCACTCTGAGTGCGAATTGATGGGGAAGCGCATCACGTTGGAGCTTGGACGGCTCCCGGCACAGCACGACCAGGGGCAGCGGAAGCCCGGCAAGGACCGCGGACAATATCGTCAACGCGAGTTTGAAGGCTCAAGACGAAGTGGGTCGAAAGGCGAGTCTGAAAGCGAAATCGAACCGGCCGAATTTTATACAGCGCTAGCTTGGCCTGGCTATCACGAAGGTGATGCCTTGGTCAAGCGACGTCAGCGTCGAGTGAGTACTGTATACGTTCTGCCATCATGGGTGCGAACGTCTGAGGCGTCCGCTGTCTTTGGATTGGACATGGGAGTCACGGTGGCCCGGGTCCAAGCCGATCGAGCTCTGCAGAAAACACGTGATTTATCACTTTGTGGCGCGGTTATCTCCGTGAATCTGTTTTCGCCAGTAGCGAGAGCTCAACCTCTCCTACGCCTCAAAACCTTCCCTCCTTTGAGCGTAAGTATCTTTGTTTCATAGGTCACGTATATCTTACTGAATATACCGTAGTCCGCATCGTAGCCTCGAGCGCGGCCATCCTGTGAGCTGGCCCTCTGTGCATGCAGTCGGCCAGCCGCCCCCAGACGACTTCGATATGGAAACTCACCGAGGGCCTTGAACTAACATGTTAACATGCGACAATGGCGTCATTTCTGTCTGGCTAGCGGCACGTTGTCGCTTTTGCGCAGGACCATTCTCAGTTCATGTTTGTTCTTCCGAGACTCGGACCCCCCGATCGTCGAACTGAGTTATTGAAATGATGCTTACCCGGTGAGCTCTTGCATGCACAACATCATTCATATAACATCCGAAGCCGCATTCTATGGTACTACGGCATCCAAGGTTCCTGCTACGACATTATCGAATATGTGCCGGCAATATCCTTGCGACTATCCTTAGTCCTTTTTATGAAGGTTGGGGATGGACAAAAATAAGCAGATCACAAACTCGAACACGATGAAACTCGTTCTCAATCTGAGACGCCCAGGAAAGGTGCGCGTGCACGCAACACAGTGCACGAGATTGCACGAGGCCGCACGCAAATGCGAGCACACGCACGTACGTGCACAGCCATGCACTCACGTAAGCCAAAGTGCAACGTAAGCAGAACAAAACTGGGAAGCTTTGGAAAAACTGGAACTCGCATGAGCGCTCCTTATACACCGAAGTGCACGTACGTGCACGACCATGCAATCATGTGAGCTAAAGTGCAACATAAGCAGACCAAAACTGGGAAGCTATGTAAAAACTGGAACTTGCATAAACGCTCATGTACGCATTGAAGTGCACGTACGTGCACTTCGGTTCACATCCGTGTCCCTAATGCCACGCTCTAAAACTCGAACTGTCATGCATTGAGCTCGTTCATCCAACTTGCAATTTGAAATAAACTCGCAATTTTAAGCCTTCGTCTCGTGCACCCTGACTTTGAACTTGCACACCAGGATGTTAAACTCGCCAAGATTGGTCGTAAACTCGCGTCCCATGGTTTCAAACTCGCTCAAGCCGAGCATAAACTCGCGCACCATGATTTTGGTCTCATTCTGACCGATCCTAAACTCGCGCGGCATGATCTTAAACTCGCTCTGACGGACTCTAAACTCGTGTGTCATGATTTTGATCTCGCTCAGACTGATCGAAATCTCGGGTGCAGTGATCATAAACTCGTGTGCTACGATCATAAACTCGCTCGGGCTAATTGTAAACTCGCGGGCCGCGATCATAAACTCGCTCGGGCCAATTGTAAACTCGCGGGCCACGATCATAAACTCGCTGATTGTAAACTCGCAGGCCCTGGTCATGAACTCGCTCCGGCTGATTGTAAACTCGCGGGCCACGATCATAAACTCGCTCAGGCGGATCGTAAGCTCGCGTGCCATGATCAAAAACTCGCGCAGAGGGATCTTAAACTTGCTCAACCTCGCGCGGATTCACCTTAATCTCGCAACTAGTGATGTGCGGGCTCGGCTCAAAGCCCACAAGCCCGTCAAGCCCGGCCCAAAAAAGCCTGACCCAAGCCAGGCCTGGCAGCGGGCTCAAGGCCGGGCTTGAGATGAAGTCAAGCCTGAGCCCGGCCCGAAAGCCCAGGCTTGGGTGCACCAAATGTGTTGCCGTTCCCTGGGCTCAAAACATGGTAAGAACGACTTTATATATGCATATGAGACAAAACGTTGACTTACCAGACGAGGCGATCCCTGCTAGTGTGACTAAGCGCGATTGTGCGCCGCCGCCTGGCGTTCTCCGTAGGCGCCCCTTCGCGAACCTTGTCATAACATGGCTCGTAGCGCGGTCGCATGCCCTCTGGAGGCTGAAGTACGGTGAGTACATGCAATAGTAGCCTATCACATGCAAATATGCTCACTTTTGTAGCATACAAATACTTATCCTAA